TATTATTATATTATATATTTCACTTTTTTATGTATTATATGATATATTAAATTATTAAATTATTTTATATGTTAGTATTCTTTTTTTATATAGCAATTATGTATCAAATATTTTCTTATAAACAATTTTATTTATTTCTTTATGTATTATTTCTATTAAATATATAAATAAATGGTAAATGTTCAGATTAACTTACCTCACGGATTGTTTTCATTTTTACATATATTATAGAGGGCACATTCCTAAGTAACACGCACTTTGAATTTTGTGGCGCTCTCTTCTGGTTTCAGAGATATGCGATTTTGAAGTATCATAATTTTCGCATTTATTTCTATGATTTATTCACTATATCTTACTTGCGTGTTTATGTCTTTTTGTTTACATTTGCGTCACTGCCAGTATATTTCCGCTAAGAATTTTTTTTGTTTACATTTAGAGTTGTTTTTATGTTACTAAAAGCTAGTACGCTTCAGAATCGTACACTTGTTCAGTTTCGCTAGAAATTTTAAAAGAAATATAGCAATAAAGCTTTACGAATTTCTATCCATTACTGTAGATAAAAATATTGCTTCTCTTGTTTAACACAAATACAACGTAAACAAACTTTATTTTTTCTTATTTTATAACAGAAAAAGTATTAAAACTGTGAAACTTTAAAATTGCATATCTCTGGAACCAGAAGAGAGCGCCACAAAATTCAAAGTGCGTGTTACTTAAGAATGTGCCCTCTATAATATATGTAAAAATGGAAACGATCCGTGAGGTGTAAGTTAATGTGAACATTTACCAAAAAATTTTTATCTTAATAGTTTTTAAATTTATTGGTTAAAGTTGGATTATATTACGTGATAATATAATTTTCACGTATTTTATAAAATAGATTACAATGAAAATATCTTTAGTTTTTAATATTCGAAAATGTACAGTGTGTATAACAAGTATATAGTCGTCATTATTCATTATAATTGTAGCAGAAAGTGTGCATATTTGCGAAATCAATGCTTTAAAAAATATACTCGACACATTTTACGCAATTTTAATTTCATGCATTTAGTTTTTTTGCCATATGTCAGCTGAATGCATAATGCTGCACTTTATATACAGTATATTTTTATGTTTAAATCTCGGTTAATATCTCATTGCTCGTAAAGTTTGCGCTTACGTTTGTGTGTTATTTACTGTCTGTGTTTCATCCATGTTTTATAAAAACGTATTTTATTAATTTGCCATTAAGATTTTAATTAAAAGCAGAAGATAAATATATTAAATATTATGCATAAATTCGATTGAACTAATTCTAAATAAATATAACCGCAAATTATTTCATATATATATTTGTTAATAATAAACAAAAAAATTTACATGATTTCTATTAAAATTTTTTCTTTGGATAACATTTATCTCTTTGAAAAGAAGAAAGCAGAAAAAAATTATCTTTGTATAATATAACTTGCAACTTTTTACAGTATTTGTTGATCTTGATAAACATAGCTTTTTAACAAAAAAGAATTGTATGTATATATATACTTTTCTGAAAACTACATGGCAAATATGCCTTGCTCCAGAGTGATATAAAATGAAACTGACATCCGCATGCGAACAATCAATTACGTAACTAATAAAATAAATTGATAGCTTTTATATATATGCAACATCGGAGTAAAAGCATTGCTTTTCAAAATTATTTTCAGAGTGGCAACAGCAGCAATAATGGTGCCGGTTATATAAACATGGTTTCGCTCGTGGGTACGAATGGAACGCGGAGACCACCCTCTCAGCAATTATCTTTCCACTCGTCTAACAGTAAGAATCATTCTCGCCATCAATCTGCATCTGTCCCGCCGTCAACACCGCGAAACGCCTATCAGATGACCGAAATAGAAGCCCCGTGTATACGTAAGTTTTTACTGTGTGATGTGAGATTTAGGTCCATAGGGATGAGAATTTCTCCGTATACTTTATGAAAAAGAATCACGCTTTTACGGCGAAGAGTTATGGAAGTTAATATTTTTTTTTGCGGAATTTAGAACGACTTTTTCTCATAAATACGATACAAAACTTTCTCGTAACAGCGTGAGCATCGCTTTTTGCATGATGTTTATAGCAGCATTGCCATTAGATGATTCGGAATTAATTATTTAAATCATAAAACTTCATAAAAATTTTAAATGCTGCAGAAGGTATGTGCAAGGTATGTCTGCAGTGATGAAAGCTATCTCTATGAGGAAAGATATCTCTTACAAAATCGCATTACTAAGTTCTGTATTCAGCAAATTTAAAAAGATATGTTTTTATTGTATAAGAGAGAAATGAACCTTCCATTCCTACATTTTTAAATAGGCGTAAATGCTTGTACATGGGATTTATTTTTTACTTCGCAGAGGTAATGTCATCTTCTCGGAATCTCGGATCGACCAGATTTAATCAAGAAAGCATCACTAAAATGCTTGTACTTATTAGCACTGTCTTTATATTACTTAATTTACCGAGGTGAGCATTTCTTTGACTGTAATTTCCTGAAATTTTTTTCTTTACGTTTTTTTTTCTTTCTTTTTAGAGTTTTTATCTGGATCTCTCAACTGTTTTTCTCCGAATATTTTCGCAATGAGCAGTAAAAATATATGACGGGTTTTTTTTTTATTAGATATAAATTGTAACATAAATATCAATTATTACTTATATACGGTGCACAGTTGGAAAATTTGGCTTAAATTTAACATATATCGCATGTCCCAAATAGTCCACACAAATTTTTGTGTTAATTTAACATGATATGGATATAGTAAATGATGAAACTAATACTATGTTAATATTTCTATACAAAAAAAAAATGAATGCAAGCTTCATAATAATTCGATAAATTAATTTTGTAAAATCAACCTATTTTTAATGATAAAATTAACTTAAAAAGAAATTATTGACGGTCTATTGTCACTCTCACTTCTATTATAGAATAAAATCAAAAATTTTTCCGTAAATTTTAACAGATAAATCCTGTCGCTAATAATACGGAACATATTTATTGTGTAAAATTAAAAATATATGCACATTACGTTATTTTTACACTTTTTTCAATTGTTTTAATAATTTAACATTTGAGTTCAATTAACATAACAGCAATATATTAAATTAACGCATGCATGTGTTAAATATTTGACACAAAAATTTTAATTAGCATATTTTTTAACAAGAAAACTTAAATTTTCCAACTGTGGAAACGAGAAGAGATCAATATGGCAAAATTTAATTTGCACGGAAATTGCGTCATGAGTCGAGTTGTCTTTCTGTTTCAGCTACGTGATTCGCCTATGCGTGTTCTTCTTTACTCTGGCGAGAAAGGACACACCTGAGACCCTCTGGTGTCTGCAGCAGTTCTTCATGCTGCTCTACTATACGAATTTCAGCATCAATTTCCTGCTGTACGCCATGTGCGGCATTACGTTTCGCCGTTGCCTGGAGCAGATACTACGTAGGATCATGAAGAGCATGACATTGTATCATTGCAATTCACAGAGGTACATATAGCTAGAGTTCTATTTCCGTCGAAAATCCGTTAGAGATCAAATTGAACCGTTGATTGTATCGTGACTAATAGGGAACCAATTAGCCCGTGAAATGTCCACGCTCCTTTGGATCATCGTTAATCTACTGTCTGTTTCCAACTGAGACTTTGGCTCAAATCGTGGCGGCTTTTGCGGTAAACGGGTCCAAATTCAAGACGATCCTGTTTGCGAAATTGCCTTGAAAAAACACATTGCGTTCGCGATGCAACCTTTCATAAAATACGTGACGCGAAAATTGTTTCGTGTCGATGTTGAGACAACCAATTCGACAGAAGATTCGTCAGGAAATGAGAAACTGTCAGTGTGAAAAATCCGAGCGATATCAAGACGTTTGACTGACACAAAAGGACCACGAGAACTCACAAGAATCCTGCATATAGTAATGATAATATAGACTCACGATTGTTGTGTGAGAATAAGATTCTCACAGATTCGGCGGTTATACTTGCGTGGAAATTTATTTCCATTTATTTATATGTGTGAAAGTTCAGAGAAAGACAAGGTCGCAAAATTTTCAAAATTTTTATAACGTTTCAATTTTTCAATCCTGTTATAAATCTTGTTCAAACCTTTTTAAAATTAATTATAAGTAGTAAATCAATATGAAGAGCAAATTAATTTGATTCTCGCTTATTTTCAAATTTTTGCTATAAACATATTATTTGCCATCTCTATCTACTGCATAATAATAATCAATATTCTGTTTTTAAATCACATGGCATGATTTATTTTTAAGATGGAGAAGGAGAACGGAAGAAAATAAAAGCATAAAATATTCATGTATTAGTACTAATTTTATGTGTAGATTATTGATCTAAGAAAATATCATTGATAATCACAAATAATGAAAATTATTTCCAAATTATAAGATTTATGCTTGTGAGGATATTACAATATTGCAACATTATACAATATTACACATCATCTGATATAAAATCAATAATACACTAAATATATCGTGGATGATATGTAATTGGTCTTATTTCTATTATTAAATGTTTTTTTAGTTAAAATCGCGTGATACTTATTGCATATCAACACATTAATCGACAAGGTAATCTTCTTGTGTGATAGTTTTTAATTTCTTATTTCTGTACAAGTCTTGAGATATTGTAATAACATAAGATAACCTTTCTTTAAAAGTAAAATCAAAATAAATTTATTGCGACGCAACTGTATAATAACAACTGCATAAATATTGCATTTATTTTATATTTTTATATCAATGACAAAGAGAAATTATTGACGATTTAAATATTAATTTTTTTTTCAAGATAGAGAAAGCTAAGAAAATAATAAGATAATATATCTATATTAAACGAACACCACAATTTTGAAACATTAAAATATTTTTTTATTAAGATAAGTTAAATAAATTTTCAAAACTCATCTAAAGATAATTAATTCTAAATAAACTAATAATTGCCTTAAACTTGATTGCCTTTTGTCTCCTTCGTATGAATTAATTCTAAATTATAAAAAAATAATATTTTTATTCCTATATTGATAAACGCGCAATTTTAATATACATTATATTTTCATCATTCATTCATAAATTCGTTACCATTTGAAAGACAAATAATAATGTTTTTCTAGTCAGAGAAAAACTAGCAGAAAATAACATACAATGAAGAAACACACACAGCGCGCGCACACAATTACACTTATAAAAATATATTTAATTTTGTATTATTATTTTGTTATAAATTGTTTATATATATGTGAATAAAGAAACTTTATATATACATATTTATAATATTTATAATATTTAAACTTTATTATTGTAGTTGTTGTGGATATCTATCTTGGTTCGTTAATCAATAATTGATTAAAAATAAAGCTATTGCAGTAAATGATAAGGTTAGTTGTATAACGTGATAAGATTAATGTGCGTCATAAACTGTAATAGAGAAAAATACTGTAATATCTTTTACGATAAAACTAGAAACGTTGCTTGTATCAGATATTTCGAGAAATTTTTGAGGAATGTTTTTATAAAATATGAATCGTGTTTTATAATGCAAAAAACAGCGATAAACACAAAAATAAAAATAAAATATGGAATTACAATCGTTTTAATTTTAATATAATTTTCTGTCTAAAATCGTCGATTTTTTGGCCACAAAATGCGATTAAAAAATCTGTGTTTTTTCACTGTTATGTAATGTCTCTAAAGTAAATGAAATAGATTATTAAAAAAGTTTTAAAGCAACAACAAATATTAACATGATATACAAAGCAAAAGAAATAAATTTGAGGATAATAACTTGCTTTTTAAGAGATACCTAGTAGCGCTTAATTAAGCACTTTTTGTAAAACTATATAATTATGTTTTCTTTTTATTTCATTAGATATATCTTTTTCTAAAGACAATATTGCGCCCATGTTTAACTGATCATACTTCTTTCCTTTTTTTATAGATTTGCATTTTATAATTCGAAGATTATAGAACGAGGAAAGATCATTTGAGATACGAGTTGAAAACGTTATTCGTAAAAATATTTTTAATACAAATATTTTTGTTTAATATGTTAAGATTAACTTTTGCGTGCGCGCGCTGTCAATTACAGTATTTTATTAAAAAAAATTTTTTAAGATATAAAGTAAGCATTCTAGTAAAACCAATTTTTTAAAAATTCAATTGTGAATTAATTTGTAAAAATATTACATATATTTTTGCAAGCTTTGATAAAAATAAATAAATATTTTATACAAGAATATGTTATACATGGACATTATATACATATACAATATACACGTTTAATTATCTTAGGAGAATAAAATAAACTATACCAAAAATTTTTAATTTTTTCCTCTATTATTTTTAGCATTTAATTTAAATAGTGAATAATTAATTTTTATCAATTTGGTAAAATAATGTGTGTGTGTGTGTGTTTGCGTATGTGTGTGTGTATATATTGTGTGGTAACAAGTAGCAAAATGTTTATATATATTATATTTTTCTTTTTTCTCATATTACGTGCTTTGTCGACTAAACTTTTTTTGCGCGAAGTTTGGCGCAATGTCATAAAACTCGGATTTAGTTCGAGAATCGAGAAAAGTCAGAGGAATTTACTGAGAGATATACTTCATAATATATTACGACAGCTCATCGTAAAGTTGATTTCGCGTAAAAAACTTTTTCAACAATTATAATATCTTTTCTGATAATTTTTCCAAACTTTTCATAATTTTCTTTTTCTCTTGATCAATTATGTAATTTTCACATTATAGATTGTTAGTTTCAAATATATCGTACAACATTGTTAGATTGTATTTATCAATTCAAAGTTTTGAATGTATATATACCAAAGTAAAATAAGAGATTGTTAAATTCTAGTTCTCGGTTTATAATCATGTTTAAAAAAAAAAATAGAACGGATAAAAAGCTAATATTTAGTTATCATTAAATCATACATCAACAGAAAGCTAAGATCTATTTTAAATACAATGTAGAGTAAAAGTTTTAAAGTCAATGTTTGTTAAAAATTTTGATTTGAACGGATTGTTAAATAAGCATCCGAAAGATTATGACAAAATTTATATAGCAACATTGTGAAAAAATTAAAAAATGTAAAAATAAAACTTTTAATAATGTTCTGCTTCATATTTTTATGGATTTGTCTTTGAAATAAATTTGGGGAGTGGGGAGGGGGGAATTTATTCTAGATTAATATTCAATTATATTTTAGTTTAAATGTTTTAATTTTAACTAACTTGACAACAGTATTGTTTTATAATTTTTAGATAGCAATATAAATTTTATTTGTTTTTTTTATTTTATTAATGAAATTCTACAGATATTAAAAAACAGTTTATTGGAAAAGAGTTTTGTATATTTTTTCTCACATTTTATTTAAACAATTTGCATTGAAAAGAAATTTAATGTATTAATTTACTATAATAGTGCCACAAATTGAAGCTTACAAAAAGAATATATATTAGTCAAATGTTAAAAACATTTATATTTTTTGTCGAGAAAAAAATTGGCGAATACATACGTAGATTGCACTTTTTATGTGGAACTCACAAAAGAAATTGAGTTACTACGTTTCTCGTGTTCATTTCTCGCGTGTTACGTTTCTTTCGCGTTTTGTTTTTTGCGCAATTAAAGCAGAGATCGATTGAGCGAGAGTTCATCTAGGGAAATCACAGGAAAAAGAACTTTTTCGACGTTTTTTTCATGAAAAAGATATCTCTCTGGAACTATGCAATTTCATATAAATCTCAGATAAAGCTATAAGGTAAATGTCCCAATGGCCGGACATGTCCCAATATCCGACCACACTGAAAAAAAATATTTACCATTTATTTAAACAATTATGAATGAAAATAATAATTATTGTAAAAAAAAACTCCAACATTTGATGATTAATCGGGGGAAAAAAATAAACTTAATTTAAAATTTTTGTATTAAAAAGAATTGATTAAATAAGCATGTATCTAAGGTTAGGCAAAATGATGGCCGATCGTTAACAAATTCGTTAAGCGTAAGCATCTAATTAAATAGTATAAAAATTGGATATTTAATTATTATATTTGTGAATAAATAATTAAATATCTAATTTCAAAAATTAATTATAAACTCTTTTTAACGTGATTTATTATCAAAATCACAATTAAAACGATATTTTTGAGCGTTCGGAGACTGGTACATTAAAAATACCAGTGGTCCCACTCGCCGGACGTATGTGCAAATAATAATAAAAACAGAAAAAAAGAGAACAAAAAAGACTGTAAAAAATTAAAGAAATTGAAGAAAAGAAAACAGAGAAAGCTGAAAATGATACAAATAGAAGAAAAAATATTTTACGTAAACAGAAAAAGTCATTAAAAAAGTGTCAAAGAAAAATTAAACTTTATTTAACTAATTATATTATTATTCGGTCTGTTATTTGCATGTTTACTGTTGTTAAGAAATTTAGCTTGTAAATTAAATGCTCTGTTCTATGTTTCCAGGTTATGCAACAAATTATTTCTATAATTTTTGACAAAAATAAAATATTAAGTATAAATACCAATTTAAATTAGAATTGTATTTTGTCATTAAATATCTATTTATATCAATATTTCTTGTCAGCATATTAATTTTCTAGTTATGGTCGGACACTGGGACAAGTTATTCGCGAATTTTTTTATGGCTTTAAATCTCATGCAGATAAATAGTAATGAATATAATCTCATGGCTTCATGTATAATGCGAGATAATCTTGTATATATAATACTAATCACTTAGGTCACACGTATAAAACATCCATTCATTTATGAATAATTTCAAATGAATGGATATTTTATATATGTGAGCCAAAGATAGAATTACAATGAGAGAATTAAATTATATCCCAATATTATATTAAAATCAATACATAGATACATTTTTTATCTTGATCTTTTTTTTTCAATATGCTCACATTTTTTAGAAAAAGATTGTCGTAAAGCATTTTTATCAAGAAGTGCAGTTACAATATTTTTCATTGATAACGATATGCATGCGTGAATCTGATCGCATATACATATATATTTTTAAATATATTTTTCATTTTGCATACTTGCGTGAAGAAAAACTTTTATATGTATTGATTATTAAAAATATAATAAAATGACATATCTTGTACACGTGGAATAACAAATTCTGCTTCGAACAGAAGCAGTTTATTATATTGAATTAGTTACATACCAAAATGATATTTGATAATTGATATTTTTCAAGTGTTATATAATTTGAAATACAATAGACATGTGCGTGCGGCAAGTAAATTGCAAGAAAATAATGAATAATCCTGATTGTAACACTATATATGAATTAATTAATTGGCTATACTTTATTATAATGTTTTGTTTATACGTTAAATGTTTTGCATATCGCATTTTCGTAAAGGTACTAGTCAATCTTGCTATTCCTTGTGTGTGATATCTAAACGCATTTTTAGTTTCATAAATATTTATGTTTATATGCGTTAGAGAGAGAGAGGGGGGGGGGAGAAAGAGAGGGAGAGTGAAAGAAAGGGAGAGAGATAATATATACTGTTATTAACAGTAATATAGATAATATGTTATATATTTTTATTTTTAGGAACATACCTAATGTTAAAATCGTCGAATATAATAAAGGTCCAATAAAAATAATTCTAAAAATTGAAATGTGCAAATTGATTCTCTATTGTAACGTTATGTCATCGATTTTAAGAAACTGACTTTAAAAGTCGCTAAATATCATTCTCATGTACATCAAATCACGTATATCAGTGAAATAATTATATATCCAATAAGAGAGGAACATGAAAAAGTAAATGTATAAATATATACATCTGTTCTATAAAATTTCTATATTTTTTTATAAAAATACGTCTTATTGTTAGCTGCGCTCCTCTTTTGAATCTATCACATTTATAAAACGTTTATCTTAAGAGTAATAAAGAATAGTTTAAGAGATATTAAAGAAAATGAGAGCCTATGAAGTATGTATACAATATATATATATATACATACATATACACACACGATACGTGTGATTATCACTGTGGCGCGCATTCCTGTATATAATGTATAATGTATTGCTTAAGGAAAATATGTATTAAATATATATATACAATATGTATGTACTGTGTATATCTTTGAACAATAGATCATTACCCTTTGTTTAAGTGACAAAACAAGGAGAGTCTCACTACGTGGCTATGCATTTCATTATCACATGCGATTATGTCAAATGTAGGTCAGATGTATTTCCTGTGTAAACATATTCCGTTTATTTGAATTAACTAGGAAGTTGGTACGTTGTAAATAATATTTGTTTTTACATAATAGATCTTTAAATATGTGTTGAATTAAGTCAATGTACGAAATACTGTGTATTGTTATCTACTGTATTAATCTATTGTAAAATCGTACAAAATTAGGTTTACAATTCCAAATTTATTTATATGCGCTTTTAATGTATTAATCTAAATGAACATGATAAGCGTTTAAATGAATATGTATTATACTTATATTATGTAGCATTTTTATGTATATATACATTATATATATTTATGTATATTATATTCTTGATGATATAATTACTTATTTATACGTTATGTAAATAAATTAATGTTGTTTTTTGAAAAAAAATTTAAGGATATCATTTTATTCTACTTCAGACATTGAAAATTTACTTATATCACGTTCTGTTTCAGAAAGAGATGAACTATTGGTGTACATATCGTAGCCAGATTACATAATCCGTCGTTTTAAAATGTTTAGGCATTTTATAAAGTGCGGCCACATTCTCAAATCATGATTAAAAATGAAATATTTTACAATCTGGCTAAAAATTTTAGTTTTTTTTATAAAATGCTAACAAGCGACCCGCCATATTGTTAAACGCAACGATTTGTACATCGTTTTAGATTCTGGCTGGTTTATTGATTTGAGAATGTGGTCGCACTTTATAAAATGTCTAGACGTTCTATAAAACGACGGATTATATAATCTGGCAACATATATATGTATATATCACTTTCTAGTTTCTGTAAAAGATGAAAGAATATATCTTTCGCGCGATGTATGAATATCGGATATTTTCTCAGAACAGTAAAAAAATGTAGATTTTGTTAGCTTAATTGATCCTTTACACATGCTCTGGACATATTTTCTGCAAAAATATGTATATGGAAAGAATATATATATGTATATACAGGGTGTCCCAAAATTAAATGTCAAAACTTCGGGAGAATTTCTTAGTTTATCGATCCCTCACACGCTCCTAAAATTTTGACATTTAATTTCGGGACACCCTGTATATGCCGTGTGTATGTATATGTATTATATTGTATGTGATCAAGCATATTAATCTTATTAAAAGTTCATTTATTTCTCCATTTTACTTGATTTGCATGATCAATTCTCGATTGATCAGAATCCATATTGCGAGATCGGATACGTCATCAACGTCATCAATCACCATTAATATAAAGTCCTTCGACATTTTGCATCATAAATAATCGAGTTTTACAGTTAAAGTATAGAAAATAATGAAAATAGAAAAATTGTCACGTTTCTCATTTATCGTGAAAGAGGCCACTTTAAAATTAGAAAACTTTTAATTAAACAGAATAAAGAAAAAGAAATAGATAACGAAGCAAGAATATAATTTTATTTTCAGTTTATGATGCAAGCATCTTTGTACTGTGAAGAATTATGCCACTTTCAAACGCGAGAATTTATGTCTTTATTTGTCTATTATACATATATATAGGAGAAATAATTATCCAATATATATGTGTACAAGATCTTATTTTTTTTATTAAAATATCTCAAAGGAAATATAAACCTTTTATATTCCATTCATTTTTATCATAATATTTCGTAAAACAAGTTGTTTATATTTGTAGTATAATTACGTCTTCTGTGGAAACACAATACATATTCCTACGATAATAATAGTTTTTACAAATACCCCTTTCTTTCTTTCTTTTATACATTTTCTGCTTTATCTTTACTGCTATTAATATAAAAAATGTATAAAACAGTTAAAGTTATATGACTACTTGGAAACGACAAAATTAAACTGCTAACAATAAGCTAAATTTAAGCTTTAAAATTACCCCAATATTTTGTAAAATATTTATAAAAAACAAAATTTTATAAAATTTCTGTCAAAAAGCATTATCTCTATTACTAAAAAAAAACCTATTTGAGATAATCTAAAGAGCTTTAATCTTTTATTAAAAAATAAAATTTTGGATATCTCGTATAATATTCAAGCAAGTAATTTGTAATCGAATTACTATAATTGAGTGAAGAAATCTTGTTTTTCAAAGAATTCAAAAAATTCTTTTTCTTTGATCACTTATAAATCTTCGTAAGGTACTTTGAAATGGTGAAATTATTTGAACGCATCAAACTAGCATCGCGATACAGATTAATGTTGCTCGGAATAAAGCTTTTTTGAGAGCGTGAAAATACGAAGATTGAAATATTAACGCTAACGCAGCGTAGAAATTCAAAGAGGGCTTTTCATCTAAAGATACCGGGATAATAGAAAAATGTTTATCCCACTAGATTGCTCGACACCTACCTTAGTTTTCCCGGAACCAGTCGGACCCACCAGCATTAATCCGCTGCGCACCAGCGTGGTTTCATATAGTTGAATCACCTTTCTCACGAAGTCTGTAATCAGAATTGCTCCTTTAATAGATTCTACGAAGCATTGTCGAATTGTGAAAGCTCCGAATGCCGGTATCGATCCGCGTATCGCCACATAATGCGCATCGCCACATTTTAGCGCGTGCTTCCAAATTGGATGCTTTAGTCTTTAGTGTAAAGACACGTTTCATATGCTGACATTTCTTTTCGTGATTTCGAGAAGTACATACATATTAATACGAATACGCTCTCTCTTTCTTTCTTTTTTTTCCCCCTCTTGATGAGATGTATAAAATTTATAATTGCCGTACAAAAAAGTAACAAAAATTTATTCTTATTTCTAGAAAAAAATTGCTTTTTAATGTGCTTGTTCTATGCATGTTGTAAAAATGTAAATATTCAAATATAGTATAAAATATAGTATTTATAAATACTATATAATCAATACAGTATTTATAAAGTAATAGGATGTGACAATATAATATTTTGTAGTAAAAATCGTTTATTATTAAGTAAATGCATAATTCGTATAACATTTAAAAGCAGACATAATTCTCAAACAATGTTATAGAAATATGTTTGAAATTTTATTTAATATTTGCAATGCAAACAGCAACTGAATTATTTATTAATCAAAATTAATATGCTATGAATATATAATAAATCACTTTATTTATATTAGTTTGATATTTTAAACCTATTGACATTAATTTGAAACTCACTGTTTATATAATTTAAAATCTATTTGTGAATGACATAAATCAATAACAGAAAAGAAGGAAATAAAGAATTTGTCACATACATAAAATTAAAATATTAATCTTGCAATATAATAGTCATATGCATAATTATAATTGATTATCCGGCTTAAATTATTCTGCAATCTAGATTTTTGCTATAATCATGATTTTGGCTTATGATTCTCTCATTAGTTTCTGCATACTAATGCTTGCCTGACATGAGCCACGTCATCTATCTTATTAAGGCACACTTTCCGTATAAATACTCAACATTCTTAATTTTTAAAACTAACGATTTAATAAAAATGTATATTTATTAGAAAATTCATAAATTTATATATTATTAGAAACATTATATTAGCAAATTAATATTATTATTGCTTATCAAAATATTTTATTTAAATTCTTCTGATTGTTAAAAAATAAGAAAAATAATTTTTCACAAGAGAGAGAGAGAGAGAGAGAGAGAGAGAGAAAGAGAAAGAGAGAGAGAAAGAGAGAAAGAGAGTGTGTGTTAAAAGGCTCTTATAGTCTAATAAATTATTTATTAGAAGCAGAATTTTTTTTTAAATGCGAGCTAAATTAAGTATTTATTACTCATTGAATAAAATACTTCCGGCATTAGAAGCTAAATTAATTTAACTATATATATATCTATAAGATATATATCAAAATATATATATCTATTTGTTTTCTAATTAAACAAAAAGTTAATAAGATACATTTATGGATTCCAACAGTAGTTTGTTGTACATGTTACTCAAAAGGTCACGAATGCTGGTCACGAAACAACTGCGATAACTTGTAAGTACGCAGGTTTATTATTTATTTTGTTCATTAGCAATGGTTCATCTACGCTTTTAAAAAACATCAGAAAGCTGTATTTCATACATTAATTCGTAAAAAGTATGCATCTATGTTCGGGAAAAATTTAACAGGAAAAATGTAGACATAATCAATCTTTCTTTGTCAATAGTAAATTTTAAATTAGATATAAATCAATTTTATAAAAATTTGAACTTTTTTTATAAATATAAAGTATTTACATTTTTCACACATAGAATAAATTTGAAATTTTTATATCTATACAACTCTTTGATATATTTTGTAATTTATTTGCTTTTTTCTCTCTCCATTTTATATATAAAATATTTCAAACAGTTGTAAAATAATTTTGTTCTGATGCATATCAGAAGATAGAACAATGTATTTTAGTACACAGACTCGAATGAGGAAACTCAAGTTATAAATGAAAGACTGAACTTACCATTAACGTCTTCTAACCCCATTTGTCTAATAGATTTGCGAATGCCTGCTTCTAGGATCCCATAATCTACTGGTTTCTCGATGAGCCCGGGAAAAAGGTCCGACACAATACCTGGAAGAAAGAAGACTAATGAGTGACTTGTTTGTCTTTTTTTCTGTGGATGTTCATAGAAAAAGCACAAGTTATGGAAAATAAATTCATTTATTTAATAGGTTACGCACATAAAAAGCAAAATTAATAAAGTATAATAAGAAAAGAAGCAAAGGGAAATATATATAATCGCTATAAAATAAATATAGATATAAGTGTGAGATAATTTATATGTAAAAAATTTAAAATAAAACTATGTTTTTTACTTTAATTTTTTGCGATAATAAAATTTTTAAGATAATAAAATAAATCGTAAAAACATTTTATTGTTCGTGCGATATATATTTTCATACGCAAACATACATACACACACGCATTAAAGTATTCTTAAAAAAATAATATATTTTTCTAAATATATACGATATATGTAGGATATCTCTCGTAAATTTTTCTAAATAAGGTATTATAAAATATATCGTGTGTGGAAATTTAATTAATGGGAAATTCACTATAGAAATTATGTAATTTATAAGTAAATAAATTCTTGAACTTCATAATTGTATTTAAAAACGGTTACAAAATTTTTTCAAAATTTTAAGATTTAAACTAATTTACCGTTAAACAACATTAAGTCGTTCTTCAAAAATTTAGGAACATTTACATCCCTCAAGGCCCGGAGGCAGATTTGGTCTTCTGCAAGATCTTTTTGCTCGCGTTTCAAATTGCCAGCAGTTACGATAACAGTCTTCACTGCGCGCATACCGAAGTCATAATGATCCTATCAAATTACGTTTTAAATACAATTAATTATGCAAAAACAATTAACATCAAAGTATAATTAATTGACATAATTATATTTTAAAAGTGTAAAATGATAAAGATATTTATAACATAACATGAGATAAATTTACATATTGTATTATTTCAATATTTAACTGAATAAATTGTCGACTATATATGTATATATGTGTATAATAATCTATTATTTTAATATAATTATTTTTTAACAAACATTTTGGATGTGTTTTACTTCGCGTATTCGAGATTTCTTAAGATATATAGTAATATTAATCTGTATATATTATTTGAATTTATTTTTTATAAGTTTTGTTTTTCTAAAAAAGAGAAAAAAAGAGAAGACGGGAAAATAAAAATACTTGTGTGCTTAGTTGCTCCGAGCTCAGCTTAAAAGTAGTCGTGATTTTTCGGGCAAGGTTTTTCGCATTCACAAAGCCATACGAGAACAAAGATATTTCAGCAATAAGAGCATAATTTGGCATCATCATAGCCACCGGGCGGAAAAGTGCCTTCAAATTGTCAGGTAACTCTGTTCGACCTGCATAGCCAGGATTCATAGTGATGAATACAGCGCAGGACGGCTTTAAGGTGAGCTCGATTCCTTCAAAAATAAATCTGCGAATTTACGAATTTTATATTTAAAATCAAAGATATATATATATTATAACACTGAAACAAATAGTATTGTTATACTTTTCATATACTGAAAAAAATATACTAAATCCAAAAATTTCTTTTTATTTAAAAAAATTATTTATTTAAATACTTGCAAAAAAATTAGTTATTTTGATCAAGCAGCAAATATATTTAAATTAGTAAAATATAAAATCAAAGCAAAGTATGCTTTTATTTATATTAACGATTTTACGTTCTTTAAAAAAGAAATTGTTGTTAAAATCAACTCGTGGTATAAAGATCTTCATTGTTTTAATTCACTGTACATTAAGCTTTTATTTACGGGCACTGCTTACTTACACGGTCGCCCGCATGTGTTGTGCCTTTTGTATAGTCATAATTTGTTGCGCAACAACGGACAAAACCTCGATATCGATTCGATTAAATTCGTCGAAACAAGCCCATGCACCGGCGCTGCGAATATCACAAAGTCGTGTTTAATTGATAATTAAAATCTTGATTGATTTACAATTAGGTAAACTCTCATTAACGTAACTTGAAAGTGTAGCAAACTTATATAAAATATTTATAGCACCTACCTGGCAAGGCCTTTGAAGAACTTGCCCATAGATCGAAAGTTGAGCTGATCGGAGCAGTTAAAAACCACGCATTGAATCGCGAATGCTTTCGCGAGGTCCTTAGTAGTCTCCGTTTTACCAGTGCCCGCTGGACCAGCAGGTGCACCGCCGAATTTCAGATGCAACGCCCCGGTAAGTGTAAGATAACAACGATCAGTCAACGGCGTAATTACTAGTCTACCGTTGTTACCCAAATATTCGTATCTACAAGATATAAAGAAAAAATATAATAGTAATTGTTTCATTAATTCAATAATTTATTCTGTTGGAAAAAGACATCACATTCCTATCGTAACCAAAGTTATTGAAACCTAAATTAGCCGAAGCGAACGAGCAACCGTGAGTGGTGGAAGACATTAATTAGTATATCCTTGTAACAGGTAACCGCAGCAAAGAGCGATAGAGCTGTGAAAGGGTTACAGGTAGGTAGGTACATTCCCGTAACAAGTAACTGTGCATTTTGAACGCTAATAAAATATCTTCAGTTTGTGGATATATTCGTAATTTGTGTATATTTTAATTGATCTCATCTTAAAAAATTAAAATATTTAAAAAAAAGAATAAAATCTCAATTCCTAAATTAAAAGATAAAATTAATATTTAATTTTATTTATTTCCAATTTAGATTAAAAATCAATCATGTAAGTGATCGTTGTGAATGTAATTATTGCATAACTTTAAAATAACAAATAAGAGTAAAACAGAATAATAAGAATTTAAATTTACGCCCTCGCAGTGCTCGAGAAAGGTTCTAATTTGAGCAAACTTCTCGTTTTCTTATGTGTTAAGAGTCACAAAGGAAAATGACTTAAGAAACTGGCGTAAGAGAATGCTTTATATATTCTGTATGTCTAATATAGAACATTAACGGAGTTATGACTTTGAGAGAAGGAAATTGCATCTTATTTAGCAGAAGATTTTCTAAGAAATTTCTACAAAGACCTGCCGCGCGATGTTCTTCTCATATCCAAAACAAGCTTCAAAATAACCTTACATTTAAATTTAGGAGTAGATACAATTAGATTAGTTGTCATGTCAGTTTCGTAAGATCAAAGAATATGTATGAAAGTGAATTTCCTTTGTTTCATATACAAAAATGTGATATTTTAAAGTGAGCGCGGAAGTTCTAAAATATTTGAAAATTTCAGCTACACTTGAGCAAAATTTTAGTTTATATGTAACAAAAAAATTATTGCAACAGGAATCTTACAGTCAATTTGTCAAGGTAATTAATAAACTTAATACAGTTCTTCATCTTCTAATTTTCTTTAGTTCCAAAATTTTTTATATCGAATTCGATTATTAATATATTATCAGAAATTTTATTTATTTTTTTTTGTTAATTCTCTCTCTAGTAAAAATTAATCAAATATATAGCAAAAACTTACTCATATGAAAATTCAGCATTTACTATACGAATCTTCAAATCCTTGTTATCAATCCAGTAATATCTTAATTGAGAGATCCATTCAAAATTGTTGACATTTGTTATCTTCTCTTGAATTAATTTATGTAAAACGTCTTTGGCGTGAATCTCAATTATAATTACAGCCTCCAGCATCAATCTTTGAATATCGGTTTGCGGACCGCGTATTAATTTTTGTAACACCTCCAGCTATAAAATATTATTAAAGTAAATGTATATGTATTATTTCCAAATTTGTGTAAATTACATTCTACAATATTTATCTAATCAAACTTTTTTTGGTATTTAAGATAAATGAGGATATAAATATATACACATATTTATATTTAAGCGAAATATTTTTAAATGTACATTTTATATTATGCAATTTATATTATGTAAAATATCAAAGAAGCGCGCCAATTCCTCTGAATAATTACTGAATCAATATATAAACGAATGTATAAGTGTGCAAGAAAAACGTTGCGTAAGAGAGTTGGTTAATGAACTACTGTATATTAGAAGAAATGCAAGCTCGGAAAAGAAGAGAAATTTTGTATAATTTTTTTTTTGATATTATACTAAATTACTTCTTTCCAAAAAACATTTTTTAATTTTTGGCTGCTTGTTTCAAAAATACAAGTTTTCATTATTTTAAAAAATAATTTCTTATCTTCAAGTAAATATTTTTTTTATATTAAAATTTTAAATAATTTACTTTAAAAATTATAATTCTTATTAGATGTGCAAATAATAATTTACTTAATATAACTAAACTTTTTGGAA